TCTTATGCAAAAGAAACACAAGTACAAAGTCGTGTAATAAAAATTCTAAGGCGACATAAAGCCTTTTTGTACACAACCCGTTCACAGAACCGACATAGGTAACAAGCGAAAAATAACAGTTCAAGAGATCTCAAGAAATAGAAAAAATGAGAAGTCACAGTAAGTTCAAACAATATCCAAATTAAGGCAGCCTGTCCACTATTTGAAAAATGCTTTGCATAAGGTTGACACCAGAATAAAAATTGCACTAAAAAATTGCAGGAACAATTGAAATTACACGCTATGACCTTTCAAGAACAGACACGTAATCTCAGCTTAGATCTGGCATTAGTGTGTGGTACGATATTATTGTCACGGCTTTTTAATACTAACGCACTGATAAAAACTTCACATTAGATTTAACGTTTGTAGTATACCGAAATGTAATTCTTTCCCGCAAATGAATTCGAATACTAAGCTAATCTCATACATAGATCCGGTAGGACGTGAAATTCAAATAACTCACTTTGAAAATGTTAGGTAAGGTGTAGGATTTTTGAGTTGGGCAGATTGAAATAAAATTTGCGACTTTAGGATTACCAAATAATCCTATAATTTCACCAAAATTAATGAAGTGCCTAAAACCTCGTCCGAGTGATGTATTGCTTGTGAAATGAGTGTAATCTAACATTTTAAATTTCGTAAACTGACCACCCGATTAATGATTTTAGATAATAGCGTAGCGACTGAATATCGAAATGTGACAGACTTTGTTTCATGCTCTGTCGTTGAAATACCGCGCCATTTCTTTCTATTTACATTTTCAAGCTTTAGTTGTCATAATAACAATAATGGTTTGTATTAATTAGAAATAATTGGTTCCTACACCATAGTCAGTAGGTTAAGGGTCAGATAAGCTACCACTAGCTACCCCTATACACATAATATCTACCAACACAGATTCTACTAGTCGAAACAATTAGCAACATTCGTCTTTGATTGCAAACAAGCACACATCTACTAAAGTGCGTTTTACAGGCTAACAGTTTTTATTGAAGTTGCAGTTTAGCCGAGAGCATGCGCAATAGGCGATTTTCTTGAACGCGAAGGAACCTACGTTTTGGTTCGGATGTGAAATTATTTCACATTCAACTGAAACTGTAAGGCTGTCAACTCTGCGATTGGACATTTAAAGTTCATGTCATTTGATGGTCATTTGTTTTGACGGAGGTAAATGCAGATTATTAAGCGAATTATTTTCTCGTTAAATCCTAGCGATATTTTTTATGTTGGTATTAGCAAAATGTGAATGTGAAAAATAAATATTGCAGAATGTAAAGCGCATGTCACATCAGAAATTTCCAGAATCTTATTTCACTTTCTATTTGATTTGAAATAACCCTTATCATGTAAACCGCGCAGCAACTACTTACCAACGAAAGAAAAAAAGAGGCAAAAGAATTTTCTGCTCAAAGGCACTTTCGGGACGGCACTGTCTGTAAACCGAGTTATAACAGAACTTGCAAATGTTAAATGAAAAAGAATGATCAAAATTACGGCCTAATCTACTAACAGTACGATATCATAAATGTGGCATTGGCATACGTAGCAATCTGAAAATGCACAACATGGCATTTACGACGAAAAAAAAGAAAAAAAAACACATTCACATAAAACACACAATAATCGCATAATAAGGAGAAGTTGTGACTATCCACGTGAAAATCTTAGATGCAACAATTTTTAGCAGCAGTAGAAAACCAAACCCTTAATTTTCTTTACATGTTGCAGGCGACTTTGGCCATCTTAGATAAACTGGACCTGGACTCAGAACGTCCAAGCGATGAGGAAGTAGCGCGAATGTTCGGCTACGAGGAGGCGTATCACAGTGGAACCTTGACAACGTGGCAAAGAATCAAACCGAAAGTTTGGGCCCTGTTCGACGAGCCGTACTCGTCCACAGCTGCAAAGGTAAGTGCCGAAACTTGACGAAACCATCGGCTACTATTATGGTTTCAGGTTGTGGCCGGTATATCTGTGTTCTTCATTTGCGTATCGGTCCTCTCCTTTTGCCTGAAGACTCATCCTGGAATGCGCCTGAAATGCGGTGGTTATAGATTTAGAAATTCCACGGATTTAAACTGCACCGAGCCGCTACCGTTATTCGTAACCATCGAGCACTTCTGTAATGCCTGGTTCACCTTTGAATTAACTGTTAGACTGATTGTAAGTAACCATTGAAATTTTGAAGTTTTTACACAAACAATGCTCTGGAACATTACCCAGACCAAACGGCATTCAATATTTTAATGTCGCGTCTCCGTGAATGAATGAGGTGTCTATCACCCCCATCTCCAAACATCTTTCTTTTCTAGACTGTCGTGTACAAAAATCCTAGTATGAATGATTTACTACAACAGCCCGTTTTTAGCGATGTTCCGAGGGTAGTTTATTTCAATCAAGCCTAGAAAGCTTGATATGCATACAACCGTAATAAGAAACGATACATTTCTCCTCCTATTTATCAAACTAAACGTAGACATCGTTGTTCGGTGCGAGCTATTAGTTTGCTTAGTGAGCCGACAAGTAAAATTATGCAGTCGATATGGTTGCGAACTGCGAGTAATGAATACGTATAGCTAGTGCAACTCGACTGTAAGTACGTGCTATATTGAGCGCGACGATTTTAATAAAACCAATAACTTAGCAAAATTAATAACAGTTCAAGTATGGCATGTTTGAATTCTTCTTTCTGAAAACCCAATAGCCGAAGAAGTAGAGTTTAGGCAGATTCTACTCTAGCACAGTCTTAAAATTTAAAGAATTTTACCAACCTATGTGATGACATTTATTAAAACAGAGCGTATTAATATATTGGTCCTTTTTGGAGCCGAATCAATTTTTTTTTCGCTTTTATTCGCCTTTGAAATATTAAAATAACATATAAAACAACCCTAACTACTTTTGAACAAGAGTCTAGGAAGTGAAACTGTATTCTCCTAACGATAAACCAATGAAAAGTGGCGAATGCTAACAAATCTCGCCACATACAGGCAAATAATTTAAAAATGGTACGTGAAACTCGCTCCTCTACCCTAGATTACTCCAATCTGATAAACCTCTGTAAGAATAAAGGATATGGAGTGATTCAACATATTTGTCTTCTAAAGAAAGTTTCCCAGCGTGGCTTGATTTTTAATCTGTTTCCTAAATAATAATTAATAATTAATTCTTCGTAAAAACCTTTGTATACAGCAATTTCTTTGATGGTGCACAATCTTTACCCCAATTTTCATTTACTAAGAGATTAAACAAAGCATGTTTATAGTGGCAAGGAACAAAAACGCTCATTAAGAGAATAAAACGTGCACAAAGCGCTGTGGTATCTTTGAAATATCCATAACCGTTATATAAAGTAGCACGAGTATTGAGAACGGTTACTGCATCACAAACGTTGAAAAATCTGAATCCTGTCTCTTCGAGCGATAACTCATACACGCTTTTACACAAAAACTCAGATTGGGTAGATACACAAAAAAAGGGCCATTTATAACTATCAGAGGTGGCGATCTAATAGAACAGTTTCTGACTAAATCCAGACTTGCAGCCGACCACTGGCAGTTGGATCGTTTAAATAATGTCAAGCAATCAATAGAGACGCTATATTGAAACTGTCATTTTTTGTTTGTCGACACCATTACAAATAATGAATGTTGTAACCGTAATGTTTTCTCTTTCAAACGTGAGATGTCAGGATTTTTTGTTTTTAAATAAATGGTTTCGGTCTTCGAGAAATAAAATACGAAGCGGAGATATTTTTAGAACACTATCCTTATGTGGGAGATATTAGTATTTTTATAAGGTTCGTCGTTGGGTAACGCGTTCTTTTTCCTGGTTTTCTTTGTACATGTACTCAAACGTAATTTTATAGCTTATTTAATGCTGTAGCCAGATCCCTCGAGTGAGCTCTTCATTTTTAAAATTGTGCAATTCATTTATTAGAGTTCTGGAAACTCCAACCCCTATAAGCTAAAATACAATAATACACATGCCACCCAACAAGCGATCGATTGAAATAAATACCTTACTTACCTTAACGTGTTAATAATCCAAAATATCCGATCCTAACTGCGATTTTCAACAAACAGAATGCACAAACGGGCAAAAAAACTAACTGCTGTTGCTTCTGTAACTTAACTTGTTTAATGTTTACATTTATTGCACTTGAAACTTTACTTAGAAGACACTTGGTTTATTTAAATTACAGATGAAAAAGAACTCCCCTTACAGGTAATTTCGATGACCTTATTAAGGAAAGGCTTCACAAAAGCAAAAAACCCTATAGCAACCACACTTCGGCTAACTTCTTCTTAAACTTCACTTCTTTAACTTGAGTTACACATTCACTTTTATATACATGTATATAATCATAAAAAAATTGCAATAATTGATTTACACAGTAATTCAGTGGAGTACTCGAAACACATGGCTATATCGGATATGACTAAATGGCTAATGGTTTAAATTCTCCTTCAAATTGTAGACTACCTAAGGGTAAAATTTTGAAAATAGCGAAAACTTTGGAGTTGTCCTCGGGGTTGTCATCGTTCTAACTGACCAGAAAGTGTTCTTACTGTTTGTAACTTTTTAATATATCCCTGTGCAATTAGTACACGAATTTCACCAACCTGTATGAAGCACTTTTAACATCTCAGGTGAAACTTTTATTCAAATATCCAAAAGTATTAATTATACGTTCTTCCACCTACATACGTACTATCTCCACCAGCTTAGAAACTTCGTAATTTTTGGAAATTATGATTTGCAGTCGAAGTGGTTTAACATTGAAAAGGAACCCCAAAGGGACAAAAACGCGCATGTTTATATTATCGGAAGCAAGTGACCGCCTTTATTGCCAAAGCGCGAATTCTTCTTTTCTATAGGATCTTCCTGCGAATGGCAAAACGCAAATTCTTCCAAATTCTCCAAAACCAATCCCCCTATTAATTACTGAGCAAAATGTTAAACGCTCACGATAGCGAATTATTTACAAAATGGCGATGTCTACATTTTCTATTGGTTAGTGTCTTTCTATCTACCAATCACAGATGATTTTAATGTTGTATACCAATTCCAAAAACAACGCAATCAGATGTTTTTACAGTGTCTAATTTATTTTGTGCTTAGTTTCTTTTCAAGCGTTTGTTCTTTAATTACTTTAGGAAGCACATAACGCTGCAGTCTCGGTTTCAGATCAGAAATGGGTAACATTGAATTACATTAGGGAACTCATAGTTAGGTCAAAGTCCACGCGTGCCTAGGCCTCAAATTCGGGCCCCTTGTGGTACCTACCGAACGAGAGTCGTCCGAACCCTCAACGTCATCAAGAAACATGTGATCGTTTTTCCCTAACATGAATTGAGGAGTGAGTGAGCCCGATCGCCCTCCTCGCCCAGAATGCGAGAGTGGCCCACCTCGATGATACCTCTGCTATTCAACAACCACTTACTTTTCAGGCGCACGAATGCCAGAGTGGCGTACTCTTTTAGGTGGGGATTCTAGTGGAGACAGACCCAGAAGCGCCTCAATGACGGCTGTGGGAGTTATTCGCATCGCGCCCGTGCAAGCCAGGCACGCAAGTCTTTGTACATGATTAAGGTGTGTTGTGGTTGTGGAAAGTATGGTTCTAGGTCACCAGAAAATTGCTTCATAAAAGAGCATAGTTCTTATCACGGCAGTGTACATCCACAAGACAGCGTTCGGGGATGGCCCCAAAGTTTCCCAATTGCGCGACGACTTTGTCAGAAATACCTATTTGCTTTTTCAGTTTTCTGTCAAGTGTGATTCCTAGAAATTTCACTGACTCTGAAAGTTGGAGGTATTCTTAGAATAACAGGGGAGACTACTACTGATCGATCAAATTTCTTAAATTCCAAAAAGATTACTTACACAAATTTTGAAGACACCTGAAATAAATTTGAGGTACGGATCAAAAAATTAATCACAATTATGCATGAGACCTTTATCTGGATCGTTAAAAGGGTTCGAATAAACATACGATTTACATGAATTCACACAAACAAAAATTATTTTAAATACACCAATCAAATTAATCAAGGTGAAATATAACACGGTTCATTTGCACACTCCGCATAAGGGTTCGATGACAATTAAACAAATTAATGAAATCTTATACTTACAGTTTTCTGTTAAAATCCCAAAAATCCGGACAAAAGCCACAAATTGCGACAGAACAACGTACTTACAAAACGTAACGCACTACACTTGCTTTTCTTTAAGTTATCTACTTTTCGGGTCACAGGAACGTAGGTTTACTCCATCGAATTAGACTGGTTGGCGACCCACCCGGCAGATGAAACGTTGGCCGTTCGAAACAGTAGACGGGAACTTTCTTACACCAACTTCAGTGTTATAAAGTCCCTCTCCTCCTTCCTAAATTAAATTAATTATCTAGTACGTATCAACACGACAACCACAAATGCATTCGTATCACTAATAAATTACATCAACCTTTTAACAAAAGTAATCAAAGTGCCCATAAATTAAAACAGAACTGTTACTTAATTGATAACTTTACGATAAATTACCCTAGATTTAACAATTCTAGGAATTAATCCGAGAATTAATCTTTTACAAGGAAAAATAAACTACTTGAATATAACTACCCACGCAATAATCGTTCCATGTTTACACGCAAAAACTTCACCAGACTAATTAAATAATTTGAAACGAAGATTTGACTAACAATTAAAGAACCGTCATTAATTCAGGCGTCTAGGCCAAACCTCAACGTCCACAACGACATTATTTACATAGCAGTATTTTTTCCCGAAATCATCATGAAACCTTCACTTTTATGCTAATTTTTGGCAGTAAAACCTTTCCTGGCAACTTTTCCTGTCGTCTCTCTCTCCTACCCAGACACCTGTCCTCACTGACACATTATTATTAATCGAATACTCCATATGAAAATTGAAATTTTGCATTTAGAAAGACGATTTCGTGAACAATTTAATACAAAACTCTTCAGTAAAACGACACTACTTGACATTTAATATATCTATCTTAATCGTCATCTACAGTAGTGACGGTCCGCAGGCAATTTCTGTTTCAAAGATAAATTTGACCGGCGAATATTTCGAATTTTATTGATCAGTAAAATCTCGAGGGAAACAAATTTTTATTTCGAAGATGGAACGTAAGCAATATCCACTTAATGGATCGGTCTCACGTTTCAAGATAAAATATTGCCTATTCTTGTCCCATTTTTTTCTTAAGAAGGTTACCATTTAGAACGTTTCGCAGATTTCTAGCCTAAATTAATACCAGGAAACCATTTTTGTTGATCCAGATCTAATTTTAAGTTGAAATTTGATTTAGTTTTATCATAGTCAAGCAGTTCAACGAGAATGGGTCGCATCTATTTATTATGTTCTCACTCTAGCGGGATTGTATATCTGAAATCTGGCAATCTATTTATGTCAACTCTATCAAGATGGTTAAAACATTTCACTAAGACAAAAATTGGAACCTCTCATAATACGTAGCCTATTATTGACATTTAAAGAAAAATTATTTTTGCTTCTAGTTGACAAATGCCATTATGATATTAATGAAGGGAAGTACGAAGGCGAAGACGTTTTGATTCCTCCCATCTGTATGATTCCGAACGACTGAACGATATGTCATTCGACTTTAAACATTTACAATTTCCAGTTCGGCTTGCATTTGGAAATACTGAAAATTAAATAGCAAGGGCAGTGGACGTGTTTGTGAAATCAGTCTGGAAAATCCATGTTTTGCACATGGCCAATTATTTGTCGCCTGTTTCAACTTTATTCAAACTCCAGAAAACAAAACTAACAATGTTGTGTATCAGAAACCATTACAATAAGCACTATAATGTTTTTGAAATAATTTTTTTATTATTATTTCCAGTTCGAATTGAATATTCATAACTGAGACAGAACAACGTCTGTCGGGTCAACTAGTTTAAAATATTAAGATATTTATGTTGACAATTTCCACACAAACTAGTTTGTCTATAAATACCATTATTGTTATTACTATATTATTATGTTCCGAGTTAATAATTGCATTTAAAGAACTAACTTGTATGGCTCACTTATGCGAATAAGTTTTACAGAGCTGGCCGAATAAAGCGCTACTGCTAATATCGATCTTTTACGTCGTACAAAATGAGAGAAATAAGCGTAAAAGTAAATAATTGCATAACAGCCCATATAAATTGAAGTACCTTTGATATATCTGTTGTTGGCATTCCTGTACGTCTACGTGACTTTGTGCTCAAACGTAAAGGCCTTTTATTATATTTTGAAGGAGATGACAAGCCGTTTCAGAATCTTCAAGTATAAGAAACGTAAGGAAAACCATCTGATCCAGAAACCATTTCAGGTATATTTCAAAAACACATTTGCGAAGCTAATGAGAGGTATTCAGATCATTCGTGGAAAAGTTTAGCATTCAGTTAATTTCAACGGCGCAGTTTGGGAAAAGTTTAATTAGTTAGCGTAATATTAGCGTATTCGGGGTTTCCATTTGAAAATTGCTTATGGATGACTTCCACGAGGGAATTCCTTCGTTTTTCGCCCCTATCTAAGAACTGATGTTTTAAAACGTTATAACACCATAACAAGCTCCCCAAAGTCATAATGTGCCCATCAATTTGGTTACATTTACATTAGTTAACAACTTTGGGGATTAGTTCTCCAGCTCCACCGTGCGCTTCATAAATGTAATGTTGTTTTTCTCATTTCAGGTTGCACCCAACGTAATACAATTTATGAAATCGCCGGTGAACGTAATAGATTTTGTAGCAACGTTAAGTTTTTACGTAGATATGAGTTTAAACGTGGATGGTAAATCGGAACTATTGGAGTTCTTTAGCATAATCAGAATACTCAGACTGTTCAAGCTAACGCGACATTCGCCTGGATTGAAGATACTAATACACACCTTCAAGGCGTCCGCGAAGGAGCTCACGTTGCTCGTCTTCTTTCTCGTGCTGGGAATTGTCGTTTTCGCTAGTCTAGTTTACTACGCCGAGAAATTGCAGGTGAGTGTACACTTTACTACTTATTTTACGCCCCGAAGCTAAAATTTTAATTAAGGGATAATGAACGTCGAGGAAAATATAATTTATCACGCACCTCCTAGTTCAGCAATTCAGATTATGATATTTTGGTCTCGTTTAGACCGTGTTAACTTCCTAATTAGATTTATGTTGCAATAACAAATCTCTGGCTTTACGGTTTCCGAAATGCTGGAACCTTCCGTGCATAATGATTCATGCGCACTATGCTCAAATTTAGTATCCTCATGGGAACAGCACCTTTTAATAATTTATCAAGTTTTGGTAATTGCACGTACAGCTTGTGTTTGGAGAGTTTACTGGGTGGTCTGTCTCGGTAGGTTTAAGGATTGTAAAACCCTTTCCAAAAAGTAGACGAAACATTAAAGTGTTGCTGTGGCTGCTTTTCCTCAAATTACGTAAATTCCAAAGAAATCACTACTAAAATTTTAATCGGAAATAACATTCGGATACAAAAAAATTAAAAAATCTTACAGAAAAATACAATTCTACCTGGATTTCGAATTGGGACTCAAATTGACACATAATTATCCCATCAGAGGTCGCGCGGAAAATATTCCACCAGCGGTCGCGCGACGGTCATATTGACCGTATTCTCTGATACAATTGTATTTAATGTTTTATTATACAAAAATACATATAAATGGTTAATTTACTAAAATACATACCTATTAAATTTACCTACTCACTATCCACTTCCATGTTACCAGAATCTTCCACACAGTTTGTGCAAAAGTTAATAGTATGTCCCCTACAAAATAATGTGTTTGAGACACGATTTACATTTGTAAATTTGTAAAGATGTCTTCCTATTTTTTTTATAAGAGCAGACGTAACATCTTTCGCACGAATCTAACAGACTTTTTAAAAAAACTCACTTTTAATACGCCAAAACTGGCTCGTCGACGAAAAACGTTTAAATTTATAACTGTTCGGATGGTAACACTTTTGTTGTCTTTCGAGTTAACTCTTGTATATTATTAATTTTTTCTATTTAAGACAGAAACCGCTTCCACTAATAAATTCAATTATGTTTGTTCTACGGTGTTACTCAAAATTCCGCTTCGTCGCTCGAATCGATCAACACGTGCGTTGCTTATCTCACACGTGGCATTGTTTATCGCAAAACCATTTAATTTTTGACCGATGATCGGTCCAATTCTGTAACTTAAAATAACCTTAGCAACTTGCTAATAGTGAAGGTAATTGCTAGATGAGCAATATTTGTTAAAAGTGGTATTCTGTACTGACAAACTTAGCAATGTTGCCTAAAATTTTAACAATTCAATTGCTTGACCCTAGCAATAGGTAAAGTGCTGTTGTTAAGTCTTAGCAAGTGTATTTCACCCGTTCATATATGGCAGGTGGATGGTTTAAATACGAATTTTTAAACGCTGTGATTCTTCCCATAATTCATCTAGTTTTTAATATCGTTTGGAGCAGTTCTTTCATGAACCAACATGGGATTTTTCCAAAGAAGTTGGGTGCGCTATTGCAGACACTTTCTCTGTCCGTCTGTGCGAGGCCTTAACTACTCCTACAGTTCAAGATATTTAGTTCGTTCTGTTTGCATTCGGTAGCGTATAACTCTGGCATCTGAGCCAAGCAAAATCTTGACGATTAAACGGCGTAACGTCAACGTTTCTATTTGTAGATATTTTTTTGAAATTTTAAAAATAGATGTCTCTAGTAAAGATAAGCATATCGCATATTGTAAACATCAGATGTGTGCATGCGCAAACTGCGCAACTGACAAATTTCTTATTTCTTGTTTATGGAGAAATTTTAATAACAGATGCTTCTAGGAAAGATAATCGTAACCTGAACCAAGAAAAATCGTGTTTTACTTGTTTTCTAAATTGTCCAAAATTATGGAATGTTGCTGCTATGTTGTTCTAGCGCCACGCTGTTTGGTATCTGTACTTTCCATTGCGAGCAAATACAAATTACAAGCCGCACGTCACTTTTAAAGCACAACGCGCCTAATCGGTTAAACTGTTAAACTTAAATCAAAAATATACCTAACCTTACAATTAAAAAGTTTAAACAGTTGTGAATTTAGTGGTAAGAGTTCAGTAGGCCCAATGCGTCTAATTTTAGGCCCAGTGACAACACTTCTGTCACTAAGTTCTGACTAGTTCGTAGCAATTTGACGAGGTGTAGGAATATTAGCAATATTGCTCAAGTTGGTAGTTAGAGAATGACAAATTTGTTATTATTGCTCATAATATTGCTAGAATTTTGTGTGAGCAATCTTGCTATAGTTAGCAATATTGCAAACTTGTTAGTTACAGAATTGGACTGATTAACTGTTTACTGACAGCTGGACAAATATAACGTTTAACATGACACAATCGCCCCCAGCTACATTCAGGCAACATCAAATCAAGTTGGACAGCTGATTTTGAGATTGTTTTTTGCGGTGAAATCTAGGTCCGTGGCACGGATGCTAGATGTTTTCTGAAGAAATCTGCCGGCTTTTGGTTGTTCGACAATCGAAGGTTCTACTTATTCAACCAATAAATCTTGCCATCCAGCGGGGAAACGCCCGCAAATATTATGGGCAATTTTGAAAAGTATGAGAATTATAATCTTTTGTAAGTTTAATTGTTATTACGTTAACTAGCGAAATGGAATATAACGGTATTTAAACCCCAAAAAAATGGTCCCTTATTTCCCTTATCTTCAATTCTTTTTAATCACCGCATAAACCATTTAATACTTCTTTTTCATTCGGAAATCTGCATAACATTGAAGTTCTCGTGCCCTATATTGCATACAATATTTATAATATGGCGGCCTCTCTCAAAATTGGAATAATTAAGGAATTTCTTTTTCATTCTGAAACATACATAACAATGGCTCATTGGAGTCCCCTGCATGCACTGCAAATCAATATCTCGAACTGTTTCAGCAGTAGAGCCCCAGTTGAACATTCCTTTCAAGGGGTCACCAATGCCCTTCCGCCCCGTTTGAGGGTCTTCGGATTTGGTCCAATATCGCGACTTCGAATTTTTCTTGTTACTACGCGACCCACAAAACACATATCCAGCTAGCTAACACAAAATCTAAAAATGTATAATTGAAATTATTTTCCTCGTAGACGTCCGGTTTCTGTCAAAATAAAAAATCTGAATGTTGACTTTAAATTAACAATTTAGGAGGCTCAGTAGCGTACAATCAACTTCCGGAAATTCCAAAGCATTAACCTATGCAAACTTTCATCTGACATACCTAATTCTTGAAAACGAACAGAAAACTCTATCCGGATCGCACAATGGATTCGAATAAACACACAATTCATTGATTGACAATAGCAAAAATTTATTCAGAAAGACATAAAGGAATCAAAATAAAATCGCTGAAGCAAAAATTGACAACTAAAATAAGAAATCCTAAAATTACATACAGTCTATTTCTTAATACTCCAAGTAATATGACCCTACGAGATTTGCGATATAAGGCGCACTGAACTCACACAGGCTGACAGCTTCTAAACTTCGCTTTGCTTTATAGCAGGATTAAATGACAAACAAAACCAGTTTGAAGAGTAAGTGAACAAATTTTTTCGCTGACCGTTCGGACGGTAGAAACTTTTAACTTTTAATAAAAGGAGAACTTTAACAAAGAGGCTCGCTATACTACACTGCATCCTTTTTCAACTCGACAAAACTTTTTCCGGAATCTGAACACGCGTTAACCTCCTCACACAAATTTTGTTAAGTTACTTCTGCACGATTTATTATAAAAAAATTAGGAACTGCGTCTTAAATATTACAAATATGACTGACTGCCGGAAACAAATTTACACGATCTTTTACCGTTATAAAAACTAGCCGCAGCAGCAGCGTTGTTCACCCGTCTCCAGTGTTTAAGGAAGCATCACTTCCACCATAAAACACACTTCTTTAAAAACTTTCAAATAAATTGCCAATCAACGACGGAACGCACCATTATTCGCACCTAATCTCTTTGTCATTAGCACCAAAACGCGGGCGTTAATTAATTTTCGCCTGATAAGACTTCTTATCGCAAACGACCAGATGTGTCTATCCCCTTATTTAAATTGAATAAATTATAAAAGCGATAGAATGGAAACAAGAATTACGCGTTTACAAAATTGTTTAAAGAAAAAAAACTACACTAGAATACAAACTCAAATGAAACAAACAAACTTTTTACTTATTTCCCACATTTACTTCATAATTTAAATATCCTCATATACAGGGTGTCTACACACATCTATGTGACGTTGTTTACACAACAATTTCTTAATGTTTATCAAAATCGGATGAATAAATGAACACATTAGGATAAGAGGGCTGAATGTCACTATAATTGCGTATAACTTTAGAAGATGTTAGTTTCGGCATTTCAAAAATGGCAATTAGTGCCCCTTTCGCAAATCAGAACTCCTGAATAATAATTAGGGTAAGCTTTGATAAGAAGGTTACTTAACCATGCTTCCTGTAAAGGATCACGTCTAGATTTTCTTTGGCCTTAGACATAGTGCGGGGGTGGCCGCATTCACTCTATTTAGGTTCACCTGTATGAATTTCATATCGGCGATTATGGGACATGGGGCTACGCTCGGGGTTACCCTTTCCTGACCCTGCCGGTGTCTTTCTCTTGAGCAGAAACCTTTCTCAACTTGCATTGAAGTCACTTTGGTGGGTTCGGCTTTGAGTGCTCCACCAGTGGCTTCTTTGGGTTTTGAGGGCCCAGCCTCCTCGGTAAGTTTGGCTTGATCGTTTTTTTTGTCCGAACTTTCTCTGTCTGTGAATGAATAGAACTTGCCTTCTAGTCTAGATAACAGAACGACACGACGTATTGTCGACTGAGAAGATTATCACTGCGGTGATGTTGTCGACCACTTGCAGTAAATTTCTATCCAGACCTTCACGTGAAAGTGAGCTATGAAGACACAAAGCTTTGCAAGATCCGTCTGTCGTGAAGATCCCTTC